GTAATTAATATCTCGTTAATTATTGCAAAAATTGCAAAATGGTAGAGGATTTTTCGACAGTTTAGTCGGCTCTATCTACACAAAAGCGCTTGACAAAAACTTACGGGACATTTTGTATATTCATCTGTAGAAATACATTAGATATTTTATATTTAATGGTATTACATGTATTTCCAGTGAATAAAATTACTCTTTATTTAATAATATAATTCAATATTTCAATAAACAATACTTTATTAATAACATTAATATCTCTAATAATAAATCAATAAAAAATTTTAATAAAATTACTTTTTGATAAAAAATTTCTTAAGACGATCCATTAAAAAAATGTTTTGTACTATCTTCTTCTACATTTAAAGGATTGAAAATTTGTTGTACAAATCTCAATGATACAAATTTCAGTACCCTTACAAAACATCAACATACAACACAAACCACCAACCTATTACATATGTAAAAAGAAATATATAATTAAATGTTTATATTAAAATGATATTGCACATAATTCTCTCCATAATGAAATATAAAGATATATTTAAATCTCTGCATTTATTTTATATTGAGTTGAGGTTAACATAATAATGCTAATTATATATATAATAAAAAATATAAAATAGGATATAATATAAATGCATTAAGTTTATATCTTAAGATAAGAAATTCTCTTTATATACATAGCTTAATAAAAATGCTTTTAAATAATAATTATTAGAAAAAAACTAAACAGAAAACTCAGTGTTTTAATGGTGGTGATAAAAGATATAATTAGATATATACTGCAATGTATATGATAGGAAACATTATAGTGCTTCTTGATAAGAGATAATCAATTGAATACTGTTGATAGATTAAGTTTCCAGAATACAGTTATCTTTAATAAGAGAGAATGAATAAAAATAAATATTTTGTAAAAGTCAATTTTTATAAATATGCATATTTTTCATTTCACACATTTCTTATAGAGATTTTACATATTTTGATAAAATAATTCATATCCTATTTTTATTTTTTACAATTTATATATATACAATTAAAATGATTCATCTTCATCTTGTAATAACATTTCTATATCATTTTATAAAAATTAAACATAAAAATATCCATGCTAAATTACATATTATTACAAACTGAATGTCACAACAAAGTATAATTATAAACTTAAAAGTCACAAGATAAACACATGACAATGTATGTTGAGTACATACAAACATGTAAAATATTTTTATAGATAAGAATATAAAGTAATATAAAGTGTAATATAAAGTTGTAATATAAAGTGCATTAGAATATACCTAATTAATAAATATCTATGCATAATAAAAAAAAGAAGATAATTTATCAAGAAAACATTAAGGAAAAATTTAGTAGATAACATAAGGTAGAAAGAGAGAGAGAGAGAGAGAGAGAGAGAGAGAGAGAAGGGGAGAGAGAGAGAGAGAGAGAGAGAGAGAAAGAGAGATCAAAATTAAGTCAAAAATTCTGAAAAATAATGGAAGCACAAAAATAATTTAAGTAACAAAGAATACAAAAATATCAATTAAATATTTAAAATGAACATTCGAAGCGTTCATAAATATTGCATCATATTGTTCTCCAATTTTATCTACTTACGAAATTATTCTGTAGTTTTTGTTCTAACATATGTATTTTATCTATTAATAGTTGCAGGCAGTTAAGCACTTTTATTGCTGCATCTTACTCTCTTCACTGTCGTTCTGCTAATTATATTGAAGATTTTGGGAACAAACATATATATTGCCGAAGCAATCTTCTGTCAAAAAATTCTGCGAGGTTTACTTCTCCTTTCCCTTTCTTTCAAACAACGCTGTTTTTCTTGGTCACTTAGTTAATAAACAATGAATCACGCTCTTTCATTAATCAATTAAATTCGATGTTACAATAAGCGATTTGCTGACTCCACAAAATAAAAGAAAACACGTGCGACATTCAACAGCTGATTTTGTGAAGGATCTACAGATTCCATTCTGTACGAATCAATCGAAGAATGCCTTGGAATGCATCAAAAGAATATAGGTGTATCTCGTTCCTATCTAGAAAATAATACTTTCGTGACTCTCCTTTGCGAGATGTACTCATACACTCTGATTTACACTCTCCTCTCATTCAAGATAAGAGACAAGATGATTTGAGGGATAAAATAAGATGATTTTATGGGTCTGTTCTTTTTTGTTTACAAACATTCATGGTAAGAAAAGATAATATTTTGATGAGTTTCGGAACACGGCGGTCAACAGCTGTGTTCACAGATTTCTATGAGTATCAGTATTCATCTTATATTCAAGACCGTCTTAAATATAATCTTAAGAAATCACAAATTAATCAGAAGGCTGCATTAGCATCTTAAGACATTACTTAAGACGATCTTGAAATAAGAATTGATTAGGAATACCGGCCTAAATAATCCGATGTCGAAGAGAAAAGAAAAAAAGGTAAAAGTGTAAAAAGCAATTATAAAACAGATTTATCATTTTCTTCTGTAATTTTGGAATGGTTTTATTCTTGTTTTAATCGCTTTGGTCTGAGTCCCAGATAGCAAGTTACGTCAATTCGATGAATTTTTGACGCTCAGAATGATTCGATTTCGATAAATTTTCGATGCTCTAAACAATAGTAATACAATATTTTAACGAAAAAAGATTTTTTTATGGTTATTATTATTTATCTGATTTAATCAGTTGTCTTCGCTATTTCGCGTATATTCCATATGTATTTTATTAATAATAATTAATTTTTGAAAACGCATTTACCGATAAGATTTCTATTTGATAAGATATCTATTTGTATTAGGTGTAATAAAAAGAAATCCATTATTTTTTGGATGAAATTGAATGGAAAAATAATGGATTTCTTTTTACTATATCTAATATATATAAACTTGTTTTGCAGTTGCTTTGCTTTTTTTATCTTTTCTTTTTTCTCTCCGACATCGGATTATTTTTTTTTTTTTTCTATAACGTTTATTTTGTTTTAAATGTGAATATTTTAAAATGCATTATACAATAGGCTTATTGTAAGTATAGATAAAGCTATAGAAACACATAGAAAAACATAAATGTCTAATATTAATAAATCACAGTAAAAAGAAAGTGCGTCACAATTGATATAAAGGACAATACATTCGATCTCTATTGTACTTCGGCAATTTGTTTGTAAATTTTCTTTTTGAGATGTAATAAATCATTTGATAATAGATATATTCAAAAGCAGCCTGTAATCCTGATACGCATGACTCAAAGAAATCACGAAAAATTTGTTTGCATTACACACATGCTCTAACATGCATTATAATGAACAGAAATGATATGAAGAATGAGGAGAAAGAGTCTTTCTTGTCCTTCGGGGAGGACTAATCTTATATGTATTCTATAAGCCAATCATAGTCGTCAATTTCCAACTTCTAACTTCTGATTTATGACTAATAGCTTATTGTAGAATGGCCATTAAAATAACAATGAAAAGAGAACAATTAGAAAGCATCTCTAGGGGCTCTGCACAATAAAAGGAACAGAGAATAGAGAATAAGAATTTTAACTTATCAAAAATTGTATATTCCGCAATACATAATTTCTGATAGATTGAAATTCTTATTCTCCGTTCTCTGTTCTCTGTTCCTTTTATTGTGCGGAGCTCTTGGAATTTTAAAGTGATCATGTAGGAGCAAAAAAAGAAAATTGTTTATTGCACTCTCAGAAAGGATTTCTAATATCAAGAAAAAAAATTCTTAACGTACTTAATCTTAATTCAACTGTATACAGTATAAAATTATAACCGTATTAAGATTAAATCACAATAATTTTTTATTCTACTCCCTCAAATAAAATAAAATCGACATTTTGTCTTGAGACGAGTATACACATAAAAAGAAAGACATGATAGAATACTAATTTTAAAACACGACTAAAATAATTGATTAAAACCGATATTTAAGTTGTATAACAAAAATAATACGAAAATAAAGGAAATGTATCGCTTACTTTAGACGAATAAATGAAATTTACTATTCAAAACACGATAGTATATTATTAATTTTAATAAAACATAACGAAATAGAAATAGATTCAAAATATCTAAGCTATATATGAAAACGATGGACAAATATAAAAAATTTATCAAATGTAGCAAGTAAGTCTGAAATTTATGATAAAAACGATATAATGTTTTTAAGAAGCATATAATTTAATCCAGAAATGTTAAATATGTTAAAATAAGATAGATGATATTACAGAAAAATTACTGTATCTTACCGTCGGCAACATAATGTGTATTTAGGTTATTAAATAATTAATTATTCAATTATATATCTGAATAATAAATGCAGGGTTGCATAAATTAACTTTTTTTTAAACTAAATTTAAATTTAAATTAAGTTAAAGTTATAACAACCTTGAAAATTTAACTTAATTAAGATACAAGTTAATTTATAATGAAATTACAGCGCTAATTCTGAATAGCCAAAAACTTATTACATTTTTCATCCATTTATCTGCCTCTTACTCTACTTGTTTTTCTACTTCCACTACTCCCACCTCGGTGGTCCCTTCAGTCCCTTCCATGTCGATATCTTAATGCTTGGTTTATGCTTTGATCTTAACTTTAAAATCTTAATATTCAGCCAATAGAGCTACCAGTCTTGATCCTAACTGAAATCTGTATTCCATTGGCTAAATTTTAGGATTTTAGGATTAAAACCGAAGCATAAATTAGGCATTAAATTCCGCTTGTTGTCCAATCACGAAGTAGAATGACGAAGTAGTGACAACCTAAAGTAAGTCAGTAACTATACCCTATAATATTATTCTTGTTACTCTTCAATGTTAAACGAGGATAATATGAGTGCACTTGGGGGAAAGTTTCTGAACACTCCATCGTCCGGCGACCAATGAGAAATGAAAGTTTCACTTCTATATCCCTTCTCACCTGTGTCGGATCTCAGGTCTCCCACTCTACCTGTGTATATAGTATGCAGCAGAATAACATCGTCAGCGGATCAGCCATTGCCCGATCGTCAATATCGTGTTGATGGGGAAGATGAGAGGTTTCGTGTGAAACAAACGTGGATATAGAAGTTATTTCTTTACGGAGCTGGATTCAATGCACAACTCCAAGATGCGTACAACATCGAATTTAGGCGCAAACGTACCAGCGTTTCTTGCCAAGCTTTGGAAGATGGTTGAGGATCCGGATACGAACAACCTTATTTCCTGGTCACCCGTGAGTTATATTGTTATTTACCTAATTACTCGCGCAAGTCCAAGTCGGATTATTTCGCGTAAAATGTAATATGTAACGATATGTGTCTGTCAATGTTATGCATTTCTGATGACTCCGGTTTTCGCTCGCCTCGGCGAGCAATAACGATCGCATTAACAAAAGTCGCGTCACAACCACCGTGCCGACAATCAACGTGCAAAACAATTACCACAACGATAATTGCATTGACAATAGTCATATTGATTACTATATAATGATCGCATTGATAAAAACGTATATTATTAAACCAACATCGATCCTCTATGGTACATTTTCTTTCCAAGAAAGTTCATATTTCTGTTGCATTTTGTTCAAACAAGCACGTTGTTATTAATTCTTCTGTATTATTATTTGTCGTTTGATTTTCCTATGTTACATTCTCTTTCTACGTTACATTACTCCTGTCAAAAGATAGCTAATGTCTGTGATTTTTAAGACAAAATTTCAATGTATTATGTAAAATTAGACAAAAGATAGAATTTGGAGAGTCACCAGTGTAGATCTTCTTTGGAAGAATCATTTTTAGACTTATTATTATTAACATACATTTAAATTTAAGATGTAATAAATGAATCAAATCACGTTGAAAAATTTACTGTATATTGGCTTTGTTAATTTTGTATGCATTGTTAATATGTGGACACTCTCTAGTTAATCTTTTTTGATATTCTGTAAATAACGAAGAACAATACATGTAGTACGATCTTTTATCTATAGTAGATTCTGATTCTTTACCTGAAGTACAAGGCACCTAACAGTGCGAATGCTTTATTGAAAAATCAAAGAATTTTTTAAATCGATCATTCAAAGAATGCTTCAAAGCATATGGATTTTGTGGATTAAATGAATTGTACCTCAAAGTGAAAGATCGAAAGTGATTAAAATGATCAATTGGATTATAGTGAAGAAAAAGTTTGTGTCTGGGTCATATTAATTATACATATTCTGTGAATATATTATCTCAATACATTATTTACATTACAAAAATATAAAAATAATAGACATATGTATAAATATATGTGTAAATATATATATA